GGCCTCCTTTGTTTATTGTTTTGTGAATTCCCAGCGGGGGAGGGAATTTGTTTGGGCTGCGGTTTGCAGCGGCGGATGCGCTTCACAACATTACCGCCAGCGCGGCGCAGCAGCGGCCCAGTGAGTAAATGGCGAGGTGCATTTTAAATCATTGAGGGAACTGTTTCCGATGAGTGTTGGTGGGGGATATTATTTACGTGCAGCGTGGAGGTAGAGCGGCAACAGACACGTGGTACGAATGCGACGTCGTTGAGCAGCAGAATGAGCAGCAGCGCAAGGAGCAGGAGGAGGCCGCGGAATTTTGGAGCCGGCAGGTGTGCCAGTACCAAGTGGCGTTATCGAACAAAGAAGTACGTGCCGTGCGTGGCAGTTGAGACGGTTGCAGTTTTCCGCCTCAGCCTCTGCGTGGCGCCTCACTTCCACTGGCACTGCGCTGCGGCTGGGGAGCGGGTGGCTGCGTTTGAGGCGGCGGCTGCGGCGGTGTCACTGCGTGGGGTTTGTGTGTTTTGACTGTTTATTTTTGCGTTTATTTCTTTACGCCACGCCGCACTCCTGCTGCACTGCGCTGAGGGAAGTGGGGCCGCCGCCGGGCCATTTGTGTGGTGGGCCTGCGACGGGAACTGCACTGCGGGGATGTGCGTTGCGTGTCGCCGCCGGCGGGGGGTTAATATAAAAAAAAGGGTGCGGGGGCGGGGAGGGCGGCGCGTGACTTGTGTTTGTGGGTTTTGTTTTTGTGTTTTTTGACGTATGCGGGGCGGCGCCTCAAACTGCGGGCTCCCCGCGTGCGTGTGTGCGTGTTTTTGTCTCTTGGGGCAGCGAGTGTGCGGTCGTGCGGCCCATGCGTTCGTCGCTGCCGCCGCTGGCCGGCGCTGTGGCCGGGCACTCGCGCCTCCCCCTCCTTTTGTTTTTGTTTCTTTTGTTTATATCTTCCGCGTGAAGGCCGCACACATTTGCGGCGTGAGTCTTGTGCCGCCGGGCGGCTGTGCGGCTACGATGACTTTTGACTGCGTCGTCCCCCGTTTGTTCGTTTGGCTCCCTCCGCTTCCCCCCGCACACGCCGAAGGAAAGAGACCAAACGCTGCTTGCCGCCGCTCTGCGCCTTGAGGGCTCTGCAGCCACCGCCGGCAAACAACACTACAACAACACACGCACTGAGGTGTCGCTGCTGCTGTCAGGCCCCACCGCAAGGAGGGAAGAGAGAGAGAGCGGCCCAACATGCCCCGGCAACTGTTTTCCGCTGCGGTGCTGCTGCTCCTGTTACTCGTGCTGTGGGTATGCTGCGGCAGCAACTGTGGGGGCTGCGGCTGCTGAGGAGCCTGTCTCAGTGAAGGCCGTTGATCCTCAGACAGGGACGACATCGGT